CCAGCAGTCGCCTGATTCACTAAGGCCCGATTTCATATTCGGTCAGCACCAAGGATAGTTTGGCTATCCAACACCTTGGGTCGAAAGACTCTGACACGCCCCTAAAAAAAAAAGAGCCAAACAATTATAAAAAGACTACTTTTAAAAAACTATCTTTTATAATTCTTCAAAAATATTATTTTATTATCTGATTCCTTAAAAATTATTTTCTAAGTAAATGTATTCTTGGACAAACCTTCAACTATTTCAAGCTAGCAATGTACATGCAAGTATGCGATGATGTGGGACGTCACAATTGAATTTTAATTATTTATATAGTTATTTAGATGTATTTTAAGCATGCTAAGATAAATGGATGATTTATTATTATTATTAATATTATTATTATTATTATATATTTATTTTTTCTCTTTTACTATCTTCTTTCTTGCAAACAAATTCAAAAGTTAAGATCATACTAATATATGTTTAAATCTAAAATAAATATTGTGCTTTCTTTTTTGAAATGTCTCAAAATAAGTGTAACAGTTCTCACTCTATTCAGACACAATATTGTACTCTAGGTTAAGCATGCTTAATTTTAGAGTTCTGGTAAGTACGTTTAATTTCAGAATTCTGATAAGTTCACGGTCACGGCTTTAATATATATTGTGTCATAGAAGGGTATAGAACCTACATTTAACAATTCACCTTTCCTAGGTGATGTGAAATTATGATACCTTATAATATGCCTGTGCTCGCCCACATCACAACCACTCACAGAACTCATCACAATAAGCGTTCATATAATTTTTAAGAAGTTGAAACAAAATTTGGAGGGTATATTATACAGGAGAAATATTGAGATCAAGCCAGAAGGCAAGCAGGCCTATTAGGTCAGCATAATTTTACCAACGCAAATGGGAGTGGCCCAAAAGGCCGACACCCATCTAGGAGAAAGGAAGTGAGACTTCACTTCATTCTTCTGATCCTCCACTAAATCCACGAACCAAACGTCGTTATTAGATCCAATTTCTCCATCCCACTCTTCTTTTTGGTGTCAGTGGAAGACTAAGAAGATGAGATCTGGTCCCGGACATTTATTGAAACTAGAAAAACCAGAAATTCATGATTTAATTTTTGTCTACCAAACGTCTCATACGAGACAACAACAACATGACACCTAACAACTAGATGGATTCACTCAATTGATTCGTTGCTTATTTCAATTTTTTGTTTAAAAAATAAATAAAACAGAACTAAGATAATACAGTTCACTTAACATGTGTACACAGGGTGTTCCAATCATTTGTCTTTCTAAATGTCTAAAATAATCGCTATTACTATCTCTACTTTATTTTTTTAATACCTAACACACGACTATTGTTACATAATTTTCATTACAGAAAAGTGCAAAAAAAATCTTCCTCAAGCTTGCAACTAGCTCAGTAAATTATTAAAATTTAAGAAAATCTCTTTAATTATATAAATTTGTTACAGATCACTCCATCCATCACTGTTCCGGTAGAATTCGTCACTGTTCAGCTCGGATCTTATCATTAAAGTGACGATGTCATATACGCTATAATTTTAATGACTATAATACCCTTATGAGCTTGAAAAGTTTCTAAAATCCCTTATTATTGTAACAATTACACCCTTTTAGTTTTTTTTTTTTTTTTAACTTATTTTATTTAAAATTTTTAAGTGCAGTTAATATTTATTAAACAAATACAATCTACGAAACTCTAGTTATGAGCAAAACAATCTATCATACTAAATAAAAATAATAATAAAACACGAACTTTTACTCAAACTTATTATAATATTCACTTTGTCATGATAATCTTAAACTAAGTTCTGATTTTTTACTTCAACTCACTCAATCTTAATCATTGTAAATCTGTTGACTCACACCCACAGTCGTACTAACAAGTAACTAAAATCAAAAGAGATAGTTTATTCAATAAAAATAAATATATACATATATTTTTTTTGAATTCTGTACAAATAATGATAGTATACCATTTTTTTTCCCCTATCAAAATAGATAATTAATTCAAATAAAGATTTATTTTATTTTATTTTATGTAAAACGAGATAATTTATTAAACAAAAAATGAATATTTGTTTTGATTTTTTATTTAATTAGTCCTATCAAAATAATAATAATTTATTTAACAGAAATAACTTCTTCTTAGTTTTTTTTTTTTTTTACTTATTTTATTTGATTTTTACTGTAGAGGAAATAGCCAAGAGATAAGACAAATTCAATTTCGTTTTTTTCTTGGTGGTTCATTCGATGATGACTTGCATTTTCTTAACAAATTAGACCTTTCTCTCTTGTCTTTTGACAAAATCATGGGTCAGGACCACATCTCTCACTCTCGCTCTCTCTATATATATTTTTGTACTTTAATTCTCACCATGAGCAGGATTACGTCAGGGTTAATTTAATTTAATTGGAGTAGATAATAACATCAATGATGAAGAATGGTGGAATTATGAATCTAAGTAATGTTTAATGTTTATTCTAATCTCTGCCTATAAATGCTGCTCTCTTTTCTACACGTATAGCTCCTTCGCAAGTTCGCATTCTGTGCATTTTGAGTACTACGAGCTGAAAGGAAAGAAGAACAAGAATTAAGAGGTTCAAACTATACATAATAATAATGTTGTTTAATCATTGTTCATAAACGCTTCTATTAAATAATAATAATAATATTATTATTTATTTTTAGAAAATTATCTTTTATAATGCTTCAAAAATATTATTTTATTATTTGATTCCTTGAAACCTTCTACTATTTCAAGCTAGCAATGTACATGCACGTATGCATTGATGTGGGATGTCATAATTGAATTTTATTTATTTATATAGTTATTTAGATGTATTTTAAGCATGTTAAGATAAATGGATGATTTTTTTTCTTTTTTCTTTTTTACTATCTTCTTTCTTGCAAACAGATTCAAAAGTTAAGATCATACTAATATATGTTTAAATCTAAAATAAATAGTGCTTTCTTTTTTGATATAGAAGAGCGTAAAACATACACACATCACTTTACCTTTTTTAAGCGATGTGGGATTATGACATCCTGTAACCTACCAGTGATCGCCCACATTACACCTGTCCACGGAGATTGTCACAATAAGTGTAAAAACACACACACACATATATATTGAAATATTCAAAATTTCAACTTTCTCAGATTCTCATTAGAATTTGAAAATCTTTTCAAATTAATGATGAGTTTTCTAAAATTTCTAATTAAAAACAGACCATATATATATATATAATTTTTAAGACGTTGAAACAAAATTTGGAGGGTAAATTATACAGGAGAAATTTTGAGATGAAGGCAGAAGGCAAGCATGCCTATTAGGCCAGCATAATTTTACCAACACATATGGGTCTGGCCCAAAAGGCCGACACCTATCTAGAAGAAATTAAGTGAGATTTCATTTTTCCACTCCTCCACTAAATCCACTTTTTGTAATTACTAGATTCAATTTATCCATCTCACTCACTCTTCTTTTTGGTGTCAGTGGCTAAGAAAATGAGATTTCGTCCAACTTACAACACGTCTCATAAGAGACAACAACAACGTGACACCTAACAAGCTAGATGGATTCACTCAATCTGACTCATTTTTTGTTTTAAAAATAAATAAATAAATAAAACACAACTAGGATAATACAGTTTACTTAACATGTTGTACACATGGTGTTCGAATCATATGTCTTTCTAAATGTCTAAAATAATCGCTATTACTTTCTTTTTTTTAATACTCAATACACGACTATTGTTACATAATAATTTTCATTATACTATATTTTTCAACTAATACATCCTACATAACAAACCAAATAAATACTGTCTTCATTACTTTGATTTTATCTACTACAATCTTCTCTCTGTCTCTTAATTATTGTTATATACATAAACCATATATATCGTGTATATATACACACCAATTGGCGAGCTTTGGAGAATCGATCACATGAAATGGACCTCCATTATTGCTAAATGCAAGTCAAACTCGTGAGGCTCTGCTCATCTATGTCTGGGCTTATATAGTCTAAGTTGTGGACCATACTAGTAGAGATTCTTGCACCAATTGATCCCATATGTATCAAAAATATGATTTGACTCATGATGTGATGATGCTTCTGTTGGAATTACATATGAACAAACATAAATGATCATATATATATATATATATACTCGTAGCATAGATTGGTCCTGCATATCATCAATCACATTTTATTGTCATGGTATATCAATCACATTTTAGACTTGTGCTGAGGTTGTGGGGACTTAAACCAGACTCAGATTACATTGTGAAAACGTAACAACAATATTTGATTGTGACATATCTTTTTTAAGTGGAATTATTATTTTTATAATAAAATTATTCGATGCGATTCGTGACTATATAGTTTAATTGTGTGTGATTATTTTTCTTCGTAGTATTTTACTTCTGGGACATGATTATTTTGTTTGGTTCCAACACAAAAAATAAAAATAAAATTTTTTTTTTCAGGAATATATATATATATATATATATATATATATATATATATATTTTATTGGGAAAAGCCATATGGGGGGGTGGTTTGTGAAGCCCACAGGAATTAAGCTGTCCTAACGTGCATGCTACGTTGTAGCAGTGCCCATTTAGCCAAAAGTCAGCTGCCCCCTTCTTCTATCTCTATGTATATATATATAAGCATGCAATTCTCTTGGTTGGACCAGGATTTTGGATTTAGACTTGTAGTTTCAGCTCAAATTGAGATAATTAATGATGGAGAGGGGAGCAGTTATGGAGAAAATGGGAAAAGAAAAGGCGGCCAAATGGCATATGTCTCTTTCTAAATTATCAGATTAAACTTCATTGCTAGTAAAAAATATTCCAAGCCAACTGGCTTATACATGACATCTTTCAATTATATATATAATATTCCACTAGCTCAACTATATATATATGTATATATAAAACACATTACACACACATAACGACCCATATATCTAAATCTGTGCCAAATTTTCTTCCATATTGTGCTAAGTCTTTGTTCTAAACATATGGGTCGATTCACTCTTCTAATAGCCTTGTGCTCTTTTTCTCTCTGTCTCTCTCTCTCCTTCAACTTGTCATCAGCACAACTTAAACAAAATTTCTACGCCAGCACTTGCCCAAATGTAGAAAACATCGTTAGAAACGCTGTTAACACAAAATTTAAACAAACGTTTGTCACAGTTCCTGCTACTATCCGTCTCTTCTTCCATGATTGCTTTGTCCAGGTATTCATTAATGATGGTCGAGTCCATTATATATATGTCACAGCTTGGATTAATTATTGAAATTTATTTATATAAGATCAAGCTCATGATCTAAGTGTTTATTAATGTTTTGTTGTGGACATGCATGTAACAGGGTTGTGATGCTTCAGTTATAATTGCATCTAGTGGAAGCAACACAGCTGAGAAAGACCACCCCGACAACCTCTCGCTGGCCGGAGATGGATTCGACACTGTCATCAAAGCTAAGGCGGCAGTTGATGCAATCCCTAGTTGCAGGAATAAGGTCTCCTGTGCTGACATTCTCGCCATGGCCACCCGGGATGTTATTGCACTGGTTTGCACTTGTTTTTCTTACTAATTTATATACTTAATTCTCTATTAATTTAGAAAATATATGTACTTGTCACGTTAATACTTATCATATAAACCACATATATAAGTGATTCATTAGGTATATGTGAGCACTAAATTGTTGTTGATGATGCAGTCTGGTGGACCTTCATATGCTGTGGAATTGGGAAGATTGGATGGGCTGAGCTCTACTGCTTCAAGTGTAAACGGAAAGCTGCCTCAGCCAACCTTCAATTTGAATCAGCTCAATTCCTTGTTTGCTACTAATGGACTAACCCAAATAGACATGATTGCCCTCTCAGGTAATGCCACGTCACTACATTCTAACAAAAATGAAACTATGACATGATATTATGTGTGTTGATTGATAAACGTTTATGTTATGTTTTAAAATATTAATTTCATGCTTACAGAACATAACATTCGAGACGATTAGAAAATGTGATGTTCGTTTGATAAATATTTTCGGAGCTTTGTTACAAATGAATTAAAAGGTTGGTATTAACGAAATGTAATTATCTTGTGCAGCTGCTCATACATTAGGGTTCTCTCACTGTAGCAAGTTTTCGAACCGGATCTACAATTTCAGTCGTCAGAGCCCAGTGGACCCCACACTGGATAAAACATACGTGGCCCAATTACAGTCAATGTGCCCGAAGAATGTGGACCCCTCGATAGCCATCAACATGGACCCAAACACGCCAAGAACCTTTGACAACATATACTTCCAAAATTTACAGCAAGGCAAGGGCTTGTTTACTTCTGACCAAGTCCTCTTCACGGACCCACGGTCCAAGCCCACTGTAAACACTTGGGCTACCAACTCCCCGGCTTTCCAGAAAGCTTTCGTCACGGCCATCACTAAACTTGGTCGGGTCGGAGTCAAGTCCGGTTCGAATGGAAATATTCGTCAAAACTGTGGTGCATTTAACTGACGGAGAAAAATGGAAATTGTAAAGGTTTGTGCTGAATACTAATGCAGATGAATTGGGAAGAGAAAATAAATTGAGAAAATGTAATTTCTTGTTTGGAGAATTTCCTTTTTTTTTTTTTTTTTTTTTTTTTTTTTCATTTTATTTTAAGAAAACCGAATAACTGGGTGGGCTTTTGCTTGGAATTGTGTATTGAATGACATAATAATACATCCACTGAATTGGAAGTAATATTTCTTATTTTATTTTATTTTATTTTATTGGCACAGTAGTTAGTAGATTCTCGAGTATCCAATTGAGAATGGTATAAGATTACACGTAATGACCGAAAATAAACAAGTTTTCTTTTCTTTGAGATGGTTGTGGGTCTTGTGGCCCATGGTGGTTCTTGGGGGTTGTCATTAGTTAGATAAGACCTTTATGAGAGAAAACAAAGGGCCTACCGACCCAATCTTTCTTCAAATATATATATATAAACATCTAACAAATGTTGGTTGGTCTTGTGTGCACACATTGTTTCCTCTCATGGCCTGTGATGTTGTTTCATTGCTTTATTATAATTTGTAAACATCAACTCTGTTGCGTGAGGGCCGAGAGTCAACAAACACAAGTTAATATTTTTAATAAATGTATAATCGAAACGAGATTCGCCCTCTAAGGGTGCGGGTTTGATTAAGCTCAATCTTACTTTTTAACTATAATTCTACAATTATGAGAGAGAGAGGATTAGTCAAATTTTAGGCGAGAAAACGTGTGATTAGGACGTGAGAAAGAGAATTGCAACTACTTTACTTTGAGCTATTAGCCACCATTCTGTTCCTCTAAATAGGAACGGTTGTCACAATATTCTTATTTCTTTTTTGAGAGAATACATGGACTCAAACTAAGTTGTTATATATATATATATATATATATATATATATATAATCTCTCTCTCTCTCTCAAATAAATGCAAAAACTAAGATATATCTTAAATATAAGATAATAAATTTAAGTCAACCTATAATTTCACTTCTATATAGATATGTATTAATACCCACCATCATCATCCTTACCTGCATCATATATTCTCTTTTTTTTATCCTAAAAGCCATTTCTCTTGTTAAATTTAATTTTTTAGAGTCAAGCCCAACAACTTCATCCCAAACGTTCAATCAGCCTCTCTCTCTTTCCTTCTATGCCAAGTGATTTCTTTTGATCTTTGCCAAAATATTCCACAATTTATGAACAGCAAATATTTTGTTCACTTTATTTTATGTAGTGATGACACCAAGACAAGGGTAATGACCATTATGATTTTATGCATTGTGACTTGAGATTTTTTAATTTTAACAAACAACACTAACACTAGCCGCTTCACCTCCAGTCTCCAAATCCAGGTATGACATGACCATCATGGTCTCATCAAATCCACATATAATTTCCTAATGGTCTTGGTTCTCCTGTACATACTTTACTTGCAAGTGAGAGCCAAATGAGTGTTTTTTTTTATTTTTTATTTATTTATTTTTTTTTCGGTTAATGATGGTAGGTGTCGGACCTCCTAGGTACACAGTAGGTGTCGGACCTCCTAGGTACACACATAGTGGTACCACTGAATAGATGCAATCCCCCTGTATTCCATGTATCAGACAAATAACACAAAATTCTCTAGAAAATAATTCAAGAACCACTTATTTCTCGTGTTACTTGTTTTGGACAATGGTCAAGTCTTTTTTTGTTACAACACCTAGTCATTTCTCTCGAATATTCTAAGGTAATGCGCATGTGTTTTAACATTAGAGAAGAGTCTAACCTACCCCTTGCAATTATGCTAGTGTTGTCTTCTCTACCCAGAACAGACATTGGCGCAACAGTTCGTGTAGAAAAGTAAGCATTTCACCAGTGATCCTGACATGACCCTTTACTGACTGATGATAGAACCCCCTGAAAAATCTGATGCTGATGGCTAGCTTGAACGCACCCTTTATTTTGACAAGTTTCATACTTGATTATCCATAAAGAAGTAACAAATTATAACAAAAATATGAACTTCTAGGATATAAACCTTAATGTTCTGAAAGAAAAAAAAAAAAAAAATCAATTTATAATGTATTTTGACACATACGGTTCTGGCTTATATCTGAAGGACTTCTACTGTTCAACATCAAGGACAGTACTTTTCAAGCATTATATTTGTAATTGATATTGAGAGCGTGAAATCATACCGGTAAAAAGATTATGTTGGCGCGCTCTCATTTTCTGGGAAATATCATTCCTGAAAGGCAAGCATGAAAACTGAAATGGAAGGGAGTTAGGTCGTAGTTATACTGGACATATTACAAGAACCATCTATTATCCACCACTGTCAAAGAAGAGGAGAACAATTTCTAATCATCTTCTTAAAATAAACTGGGACAGCAAGTCTAGAGGAACATATGAGAAGCAACAAGCTTTCATGTTTAGACCATCTGGATGACATAAACAAAGGGTGCCAGAAGCAATAAGCTTGCAGTCACGAGCCTACCGCATAAGAGGCATGTGGAATTCATGCAAATTTTGTGTGCAGGCATAATTATATACTATTAAGCATGCCATCTAAGTAAGATGAGACTTGCACTTTGAGATTAAAGGGTGTGTGCAATAGGAACTAAATGAAAAGAATCCCAAAGTCAACTATTGCACTTAATGAGGCATTCATGAATTTGAAATTTTAAAGAGCTGAACAACATAAGAGAGGCGAGCAATTCATGCAAATTTATCTGCATGGACAATATTTGATCATTCAATTTTTTAAAAGGACTGACCAAGTCTAACATGGATGCACGGTTGAGCAACTGACAATAAACTCCATAACAAAACCAAACAGCCAGTCAACTTCCAATAATGTATAATGTTATGACTACCATAAATTATTAGTTTCAACAGCCCACTAAAATAATTAGATAAAAATTAGTTTACAGTAAGTAGAAAGACTTCACTAAAATGCTCTCTGTAAGCTTGCAGGAAAGGAAAGGAAAAAATAAAAAGAAATGCTCTTTGTAGGACTCGCAGAAGAGCTATGAAATTAACTACCAAACCTAGAATTGGACAATGACATCTCAATTAAGGGAGTGGGTAAGAGATGGCGGCTCCAAGTAAGTTTATCTCTTGCTCACCATCAGTTTTACATACAGAATAAAAATGCTAATTATTTCCCAAACCACCATCATTCACAAGAGCACTAGGTAAGCCAACATCATGTAGAAATTACAGTGTTAAATTTTATTTGGTGAAGAATTTCATAATTTCAGTTGCATCAGTTTTGAGAATGAATAAAACGTATTAATGGAGAAAGCATTAAACTGAACTGTAGATATAATAACAGTTGAAGAAGTCCTCCTAGCATTTATTAAGGCAAGTTTACTTCCCAATCTTCAGCTATTGGATATGTGGATCTGGAAAGTACTCATACAAAGAAAAAGTTTTTGCATTTAAACCCTCACCACAGTTATTTCTGGTAAGAAGAAGCATATGGTCATTACCCAGGGTGCTGGGCAGGACAGACAGACGGAGTCGTAAACTTTGACACTAATTGCACAAAATGGCTACTTTCAAGATTCAAAGGTGTGTTTTCACACTAGACAAAACGAGTATTACCATTGTAGGAAGCATCGATCTGTTAAATTGGAGAGGCTGGACATAACTGCTCAATATCAATACCTGCAAAAAGAATGCATAGCACAGGACTAGCAAATTTGATTAGATGAGTACTTTGCAATGCCACTAGAATGGTGATTCTGGAAGCAACTACGTTAAGAACTGACAATTTTGGATGACAACTGCTTTTTTTATGACCCGGCTTGGTGGAAGGAAGCAAATGTACACTATATTCCAGGACCACAAAACTTCAACACAGTTGTTCTATACTGATTGGTAATTTTAACAATAAGTGAAATCCAGAAAAAAGAAAGGACATAGAGACATTGTGATTGGAATTGCTATAAGAGCCCAGAAGAGAATCATATTAAATAACCCGTGCAAAAGAAAGAAAAGTGTTTTTAACATAATGAACTACTAAGTTTACGTGCAACTTACCTCAGGTAGAAATTCTTTTGCAGGGCTACAGCATCAAACACCAAGAGAATCATATTAAATAACCCGTGCAAAAGAAAGAAAAGTGTTTTTAACATAATGAACTACTAAGTTTACGTGCAACTTACCTTAGGTAGAAATTCTTTTGCAGGGCTACAGCATCAAACACCAAGAGAGGAGAAACATGCACCTCTGGTAGACATAGTAGATTGGGGAAGTGTTTTTTTAAAATACAAATTCTAAGAATTCCCTAATGCTCAGGGGAGTATAAACCATTACAAAGTCATCAAGATCCAAGTTCACATTAATGGAATTAAACAACTTCTCCACTGATCTGGTGCAAGAAACTCCTCAACTGGTTTAGGGATATACTAAACCATGGCTCGAGTGGGGAATTTTAGGCAGTCAAACAGACTCTTTATGATGCTTTCAGTGTAGATAGTTGTATTTCTTCCTCTACCATCTCAGTTAAGAGATGCATACCAAAGCTCCTCATCCGCATAGTTCATTATTTATAATCTGTAGTGATGCTCAGATCACGCTGCCTGTTATTTTTTTTAGGCTTCTCATCTACCGAAGAGGGAAATAAAGAAGTATGAAGGATGGGGGAGCATATTGATAAGTTTAAGGCAAAAATTTACTGTCTTGATTTAGATACTAAGAAGTTTGATCTACTCTGCTAAAAAACGAAGAGCAAGCTCAAATGTATAGTTAGAAGTGGAGTACTGACTGATAATATGAAAGACACATTCGCATTGAAGGTGAGATTGCAGCATGCTACAACATGCATAATATTAAAGTGATAGAGCACTTTAAAATGAGATGAGATACAGATATAATAATGTGGCATAGGGAAGATTCCAAATATAGGATTGTTTCAAACATTATACTCGTGTTTGAAAATCAGATCAAACCAAATATAAGAAAATTAAGTGGTGCCAGTTTTAAACATCCTCCGTGAGGATTTGACAATGAAAATTAGGCATTCTGCACAAAAAGATAAAAATAAACAAAAGGAGAAAAACTTTCAAATAACTATAAATCAGTGGTCAATGGATAAATATGCAAAATCAGATAAAGATGGTAGATACAAATAGCATTGAAATATTATTTTCCTTCTTTTATTTGGTTTTGTAATGGCTCCTGTAAATATGGATTTCCACCTTCAAATGTGTGACAAGAATGAAATTATTTCATTGCCAAGTGACTTTAAACACCACTTTAAAAATTAAAATGAGTTCTATCTCATGATTGTTATTTGGTATCAAGGCTTTGCTGCATCAAGCAAATTTCTAGAGACCATGGTAGAATGATACAGCTCATACTCGGGATTCCCTCAAAACAAGAAAGGAAAAGAAAGGCATTCCACTAGGTTTTTGTAGTCAAAGTAGATACAATCGCGCGCGCGCGAGAGAGAGAATTGTGCGAAGGAATTTATATTTGATGCCTTGGTGATTAGAGCACTTATATGCTGACAGATAAAAATAGGAAGAAAATGATGATAAAAATATCTCCCAAAGAACTTATTGTTGTGCTCAAAGCGAAGCAAAAGAAATCCAATCGTTCTATTTAATTTCCCATCTGCAGTACTGAAATCTTCTTCTGCAATAAAGAGGCCTGCTACTACGCTTTACAACCCCAGCTTCCCCCCTTCCCAACTAAAATTGTTACAAAAAATTCACTCAATAAGAAATACAACTATATTTACTAAAATCTCCGGACATCAGTCAGACTACAAATACAAAAGTTAATAAAATTTCATGTTGTATACCCATGCCATGGCGTATGTGTATGCCAACCAACTGGAATACAAAGTGGGAGAGGAATATAAATTATTTGGACGCACCCAAATAAATGATTAACTGGAAATTACGTCAAAAACTACATTTTTCTTTAAGAAAAATAGGATATTCATTCTAACAGGATAAAGGTTATATTAAAGCATCTTAACAAGAACAGTTTACTAAAGTTTACCGGAGAAAGAAAAAAAAAACAAATAACAACCGAACAATAATAGGTGTCACAACTCCAAGGATAAGCTTTATTAGCGAAGAGAAAGTTTTAAGATGAAAAAACTATATATATTAGTTAAAGGTTGCCAACTGAGCTATTTTTAATGGCTAGAATCCTACAAGTGTCCGTATATTTATACTTTACCATGAAAGGGTGTCCCATTTCAGGAATAATCAGCTCTGAGATTTATATACAATCTAATCACCTTGATCCAAAACTTTTTGTAGCTTCAACCACATAGCTTCTTCAGTATCACTTATAAAAATTGTGGGATGGGTCAAAATCACTGATAGAATGGATTTGAAAATCACAATAACACACCATCACTTCGGGCTGAACTTGAATTTCTTGTCTCAACAAACCATGTGCTGACAGTTCCAATTCATTCTTCTGATGAACACAAGCAAATCTTCTCAAGTTGCATAGGCCAGTCTTCTCCAAGTGCCTGCGGGTTCAACTCCATCGCAACTCGAAAATCTAACATGGATGCAGAAACTGGTCTGTTTGGTTTTTGTACATATTTCATGGGCCTCATTCCGTTCAAACCAGAAATCACCTGATTACGCACTTGATTCAGGTCCTTGTTCCCAGATCTTGAACCAGTTAATTCCAAAGATGGTTTTATCAATCTTTTCAGGTAAACGTCCAATGCACTGTTTAGCAGGTTAGCACAATCCATTGAAATATTCAAGCCCTCCATCTCTAGCTTCTGCTTCAACCTGGTCTTTAAAGAACTGGTATCAGGCAGCTCACCACTATTTTGGCATGTGTTGATGTAAGAGGCACTTCCTGATCCATTACGTAGTACTTTCTGTGGTTCTTTTCTGTTTATGGAGATGCCAAGAGGAGCCCTAACAGGGCTTCTACTAATAATGCTCGGACTCCCAGCAGCCTGCTCAACTTCTTCCCCATCTTCCACTGAAGTAATCTCAGCCAGGGGTCTGCTACCTAAAGAAAGCAGCTCAGTAGCACTTTGCTGTTCCTGAATTTTTGGAATAGAATCTTCAAGTGCAACACTAGGGGTCTTCCCATATGGCCCAAGTGGACTTGGACGGTCCCTAAACTTGCGATCACGAAGACAGGGAGTCCTTCCCTTCCGGGGAGACTGAGGAAATACATCTCTACAGAGTGACTGAAGATTACTTCTATGATACCCATTGGGTACTTTGACATTCAGTGAAGCTTCTGTTTTCCTCCCTTTTGGGGGGGGAGTCTTAGCAATGCAGGCATTTTTTATAATCGCTCGGAGAAGTCGATTGTGAAGGCAAATATTCTCTCTTCCGATAGTACCAATGCAGAGTTTATCGAACTCCGATTTGCTAAGCTTAAGACTCAAGAATTGGGTCAAGAGATTAAAGTACTTCTCTGTTTTCTCGTGCCCGATCTTCCTTTCAATCTGAAGTTTCAGTTCTGAACTGTCTATTCGGGGGGAGTGCCGACCCACCGGCATTTTGATTCTGGATTTAGTCACTACCATCAAAATCAAAGTTCTTCACCAATCACCACAAATTCCAAACAAGCCATACCCCAATTCAGAATCCAGATTTCAAAACCCTAATTTTCATTCGATCCACTGGCATTTCAGTACTAGTGACAAAAGTAAACGTCATAATTAAATTCTGCAACATAATCAAGATAGTAATTAAGCTCAAAACAAGTTCTCATTCATTCATTGTACAGATAAAATTCTTCAATCCCACTGGTCATACATTAAATCAAGCAAAACAATCATACACGAACACACGAAATTGTCAATTCTCAACTTCGATCTCAGGAGAAATAGTAAAAGAAAACAACAACTGCAACAGAAATCGAAGTTTAAAGAATTTGAAGTGAAAAATTCAAGTTCAACCACGAAACCCTTACAGTCGAATTCGATCAGAAAACGATAGCACAAGTAAGAGATAGAGCAATGGAACAGAGAGAGCATGTGAAGTAGGGAAAAAAATATACAAATAAAATAAAACTAACCTGATTCATTGAAACGTGTGAGCAAATTGTATTGGGCTTCAGTGTGTTTACTGAAACTCTTCGATCACGGGGTGATCGAGATTCTAGAGAGAGAAACAGAGTGATGAGAGAGAGAGGGGATTAGGGCTAGTAGGCATTTTTTGCTTTTGGAAGCTTCGTTAAGTCGTAAGAGAGTCAAAGGCACGTGGGGTTTTGCAGGTGTGAAGTAGTCTAGTGTAGTTGTGGTGAGTGAGTGAGTAATCGCTTCGTTCGTTCGTTCGTTTGTTTTAACTTCTCTTTTCGGGCGTCCAATCATACTTTGGACTTTGGAGTCGCGCAACCCGTTAGATTTGACCCACCAACCTCTGTGTTCCTCTCTCAAGGGCTTTCCAAGATTTTGGAGTACCGTCTGAACCGGATCGGGTTAAAAATATGTTGTGTTCGGATTAATAATAATACTTTCAAATTTAAATCGTGAGAGGCATACCAAAGAATGTGATGTCCACAAGTGTAACGGGTTGACTTTTGTTTATTTATTAAGAAATTTAAATTGTTAGATACTGTTACATATCTATTTATTTATATTCAATTATTTTATCATTTGGATTCGATATAGAATAAATAATTCTTATTATATTTTTCCTCCACCTAAATTTACAACGCTCTTATTACGATTTAGGCTATCTTGTCTATTTGGGCTGCAAACCCAGACGCCCTTCGAACCGAGCGCTTGACAGGATACCAAATTTAATATTAAGTGTCACTCTAATACCAATTAGAACGAATAAATACTTATTTATCCAAAATCTCGATTTATTTATTCATTCACTTTTATCTAATCAAAGCAAGACACCATTATGATATATTATTATATATGAATCATGATAAGTACACAACTTAGCATTATGTTATTAAAACAATGGGCAGTTATCCAAAACATATGGAAGCCAATAATATGCTGACAGAGGCTCGTGTTTTGAGCTCTATAAAAGGCATGACCAGTTGATGTTATGTGGCACGTAGTATTTGCTAAAACAATTCAGCCAATCATTAATATATATTATCCTTGGTGGAGATAGATTCACCAACAAATGGACCCATCTCGAAGAAAATATGTACCTATAATTATTAGGTTGTATATAAGTTTCCTGTCAAGAATATGAGTTTCATGTTATCTATAAACAGAAAGTAATAATATTATCTTCTTCTTTTTTACGTATATAATTTTGTCAAAAAAAACTAACCCATCCAACCTGTCTTCAACCTTCTACTTTTTTTTTTTCTTTTTTTCTTTTTCTTTTCTGTGTTAAAGTTTCGACCTGTATATAATTAACTTAATTTTGTGAATTTCCTTGTAAAATATAGATGTAATTCCACAATTAAAAACATGGTGAAACCTCCTGGTTTATAAATGCAGAGGTGTAACACAGCTCAAGACTGCAAATAATGGTCAAGCAATTTTATGAAAATATGAAGCCAATGTTGTATTTGTTTGATAGAAATTCTATAAAATTGGTCATTATCCATTGCCATAATAAAACAATACGAAGACGTAGGTTCAAGGGTAAAAGTTTAGGTTGAACTTGTGTTTGTATTGAATTTGAATTTATACAGTCTTGATTGACCGAATAGCTCATTCAAACGCTTTTCTCTCTCCACCACCAATCTTGTGATTTACGCATTATTTATAACAAAAAAGTTAAGGATTAATGGTTAGAGGGGAGAGGTTGGAATAGAGCACAAGGTTCGAAAACAGACTGTTGGATAAAGGGAAAAACCAATGGCAACAACTGTTGTTATTCATTACTATTACGTAAGCTCTTTATTAAATATATACAAGAAATTAGCTAAGTCTATTTCTTGAATTTTTTTTTTTTTGTTCCAAATCTTCTGATAAATTAAGAAAAGAAAAACTCAAATAAAGACAAATCTACTGGGAGAGTGGAGGGTTCAACCAACGAGGCGGGTAATGCCCAATTTCTTAAAAGGGTACGTTAAATATGTTATTATGGGGCTTATTAAGCAGGGTCCAAAAAAACTCGTCGTAGTTTACTAGGCTCACCTTAAAGCAACTTAAATCCTAATTGTGAACTTAGTTTAGGGTGTAGGAGCCCTAATTTTTAATGGGCTGAGCAGATATTGGACATGCCATTTTATTCCGTGGACTTAACTTGCATAGACTAAAACCCAATCAATTAGTCCAGCCCAATAGATACCCTTTTTTACAAACCCAATAAATTAGTCCAGCCCATGGTATGAAAGAGAGGAAAAAGGAAAGGGAGAAACTATTAGTCCCTACTTATAAACTTAAAAGAAAATAAGTGCTATAAAAAAATTTTATGAGACAAAGAAGTCTTACTTGTGAGAAATATTTTTATTTTATAAATAATGAACCTTTTTTTTTTTCATTAATAGAATTACGTTCAGGAGCACTGAATCGGCCCATTGGATTTAGAATTGAAAGCAAGTTAAGACTTTGAAATAAATTGGTTTCAGTTTTAAATCTAAAGCGCCGGTACTTCCTAGCATAACATTAATGTGGTTCTTAATAAAATACAACTTTCTCTTGTACTTCAAATATTTCATGACTAATACTTATTTAGCAAAAAAAAAATACAATAATATTTTATAACTTGAACTTTTAATTTATTTCCATGGTTTGAGAAAATCTGGTTCTCAGCATTGGGCCCACGAGGAGCCCAGTTTTGTGTCAGTAGCAACCCATTGGATGTAGTCCCTATTGATTAGAATCTTTAGAGCTGCGACCCTAAAGAGTAGGGAATGGGCGCCAATAGCCCATTTAAGATATGAGAATGCTGCAACGTAGGCCTTGGGCAGTGAACCTCGACCAGCCCAAAAATTACAACGTGAATGAATTTATTTTTATTATTTTTATTTTTGGCGGCTTATTAGTCATTAATTTGATATGATGACCACTGAATATGGATATGATATACGATAAAGTTTTAAAAAATAGAATATTAATATGTTAAAAAATAATAATATAATATATTTAGGGTTAATTATAACGACACCCTCTGAAATTTGTAGTATTGACAGACATATATAAGTTAGCACCTTTTTGTACAATGAAATCCTCTAAGTTTACAAACTTAAACAATGACACCCCAAATATGATGAACGTACATGTTTACCCTTTGACCACGTAAAATGACCAAAATAGCCTTAGCCAATATACACAACCACCACTCACCAGTCACTACCATTGCAACCTCCACAACCACCATCTTCTTCGTTGTTCCATCACCATCACACAAACCCAACAATTCAAAATTACACACATGTATTCATATATACACATATACATACATACAAAACATAGGGCAGAGGCAACCATTGAACCCGACCGTATCACCGCCATTGCCAATACTGCCCACCCTTCCTTTCTCTCTCTACCCACACTACAATCTTTGCCACCACAACCAAAACCCATCAATTGAACCCATGAAAAACTCACAAAAAAATCCAGCCAATTGAACCCATTAAAAACCAAAACATTGCCAATTGAACCCGAGCTGTCTGCCATCCCCATCTTTCCACCTTCCGAGCTATTTGCCATTGATCCTTCCTTGCACAGCCGTTGAACCCAACTGAGTCCAACTCAGACAAGTCAACGCCCGTCACCGCCGTTCCGAAGTCAACTGAGCCAATTGCCGCTTATTCCATCCAGCCAAGTTATCCACCGGCGTTTAGTGCTATCAGCCCATTGCCCACAGCAGAGGCCATCTTTATCACAGCCGAGCCCTAACCAGTAACTGCGAGTCCTCCACGGTTGATGTGATACCCTTCGATTCTAGAGTCATGGGTGATCAAGTCCGAACACAGATTCAAGGGATACCAAACAATTAATATGTAAAACGAACACGGAATACAAAACTGAAATTAAAAAATAAATAAATAATATAGCTGAAAAAAAATCTAATTACAAAATCCTTAAAGGTTATTATTGTAAAACCAAAACTTCAAAACCTCCATTTATTTATAACTCGGGAATCCATCTCATGGACCCCTAATAAAATCCCAAATCGAAGAGAAAAGAACTGAAACAAGACCAAAGCTAAACAAAGAAAGTAATCCTACATAATCAGAGGAATAAAAGTCTGTATCTGCTCTGTACGATCAAACTCTAACCCTGGAACTGACGAACACCTGAAAAATAAAAGAGTAGGTTAGGCCCACATGCAAGTCCTGATCTATTACGATCCAAACAAGAATTCGATTCGCAGATTCATCCTAGATAGACTCAACAATATCTAGAGTAGTCCATATATGTATATAATACACACTATAGGACGTTCACTAGTCCAATAGATCTGTCTCAGCCTGAGTAGAGATACCATGCAAATCGCACATTACGTGGTCATGTGTACCTAGACCTACTAGGGAACAACAACTACTGTCCAGCTATCCATCCTAGGCGATATACACACCCTAACCATGGTCAGGAGACTCAAGCTCATACCATGGCATCATAACATAAATATATAAAGTCCGTTCCAAGTATGTCATTCAAAAGGTTTATTGACCTGACACCTAGTTATAAGTAGGACTTAACTTTTGTAATTAATCCATCTTATTTCAATATAGGTAGGACTTAGTGTTTGAACTAATCCATCCCCAATATAGGTAGGACTCCGTGTTTTGAACCGAGCCATTTCTAATATGCCACCGTCTCATACCGGTGCATAAACATCCATATAAACAGGACTTAACGTTTTATAGCTAATCCAACTTATTCCAAGATAGATAGGATTTAGTGTTTTACCAATCCATCCCCAGTATGTTACCGTTCCATACCGGTGCATACAAACCTCCACATAACATAATTGTTAAAACAATAATTGTTATTTATATATTACTATCCAGAATTTGCATCATACAGTTTAACACATATATCATGATATTAGATATTCATTATAGAGTCTAAAAATCACATTCCAACTATTTTAATTGCTACTATAAGTCACAACATTTGCATCCTCCATAAACTCCACAAATTGATACAATTAATACACATACATATCAATTATGTTCCAAACCAAGTATAGATGATCTCTCTAATATACTACACTGATAACACTGATTAAATATAATTTACACAGTGAACAATTATATAAAACAGAACCTTCAAGTTTCAGCAACTGATTTAAACATCCAAAACAGTGTGCATTATACCATTGTTCCTTAACTGCAACTCGCTCCATTCCTT